ACTTGTAAAGGTGTCTTCTAGGTAAGGATTAAATATTTACTGTATTATTAGGCATAATACGTAAATAGACATTCAACCTAGCCTCAGCTGGCAAGTAAGCATAGGACATTTAGACATCTCAACTCAACTTGATTCCACTGTTTCAGTTGAACGCTCAACTTACAAAATGATAATCTACACATGCATCTCCAAAATTTATGTGTCACATCTGTGTCAGGTGTCCATGAGACATAGTGGGAAAGAGTTGGAGTGTTTACTTGTTAGTTGGGACTTGTGACCGAGTTAATATCTCTAGACGTGACTCTCAATGTTGGAGTGCTTACTTGCCCGCAGATGCCAAGTTAGAGTGTCTGTTTATGAATTATTATTATTAAGGTACTAAACTTATTTTTTTTTAGGAGGAAATAAATATGCACATAAAGTTCTTGACTGCTGCCATTACTCTGCCTGAGCTGACGAAGCCTGACGCTGGCGAGGACATGGCTGAGGAAGTGCAAAGTATGCTTCAAGAGCTGCAACACCTCCATTCATTTTTGGATACTAGGTATGATGCTTTCTTACCATCGTGCTACTTGCATTTATAGGTCACTCTTGTTTAGATGTACACTTCCAAAGTTGTTTAGGACGTTCAAAATATATCCATTTCAAAAAGTTTCTTTCATGCTAAAAGCATTCCATCTTAGGAACTATGGCTTTAGCTCCTGATGTAATCCTTTTTTGAGCCCTTTTCTTTTATAGTAATGTCCTATCGGAAACAACATCTCTACCTCCACAACGTAAGGGGTAAGGCTGCATACGAATCACCTTCCCTAGACCCCACTTGTGTGATTACACTAGTATGTCATTGTTGTCATCCTATTAACAAATGTTTTGTTCCAACTACTTGTCGTCACGCTTACACATACATCTTTAAGTGTGTTGAGGCAGTAGTTCCATTTCTTTCTCTTTTTTTGGAATTAAAACTCTTGATGATGAATTGTTGCATTGATGCTTTACAGTAATTTGGAAGTAGCAAAAGCTGAACAACTATTGAAGAGCTTGCTGTCAAGAAAGCCCAATATTGAAGCTTTATTGAACCAATGCATTGTACCAACAGAGAAGGAAAAAGGCAATACAGTGTGTGTTGTTGATGAGAAGATTGTGTTGCCGTCTGTGGCTGCCACCGATTCCGAAAGCAGTAACAAGGCTACTGAAAGGAAGCAGCCACAGCCACCACAACCAAAAGGGAAGGGCAAGTTCAACAACTCCAAAAAGGGAAAAGGAAGAGGTAAAGGAAAAGGAAAAAAGAAATAAAAACCATGATGCAATAATATAGGGAGTATAGGATTAGCGCTCTCATTTTTATGATTTTCTTCACTTTTTGTGCAATCTTAATGCTGTGAATGCAAGGAAGGTTAAGTGAACTATTTTATGTGGTTGCTTTGTGTGTTATGAATGTGATACGGGCTTATTTGTTCTTTTTGGATCACGGGTCTAATGTTTACTCGTATATTGTTCAACCTTGCAGATAAAACACTAGCTTGTTATCTATAGTCTAATATTTTCTTATAAGATATTCAATTTACTCGAAAGGAAACTTAAGTCCATAGTCTAAAAGATCCATATTTTGCATGAGACTGTTTTGTTGTGATATCAGGATAGTATATTCAACTTAAGATTCATTTATTTGTAGTATATATATTGTACTTTCTTTTGGAGCCTAAAGTACTTGATTTGAATATATAAAAACATGATTGAATAAACATTATACGTGACATCTAATTTTGAGGGTTATTTTGCTATATATCGTACGTGCAAAAAGAAAAAAGAAATCGTAATTTAATACGTAAGAACAATGGCTTTTCATCATACATAAAATCCTGTATAATCACTGTATTAAAAATGATTTTCTAGCAGCAATTAATTAATAATAATAATAATAATTTAATTGTCGCTAAAGCAATTAGTACTCTTTGTAAATATTCCTAAAACCTATACCAATATTAGATTTAATGACAATTAACCAATGTCAGTCAATTTAGTGTTAAAAGTGTATATTTATTACCGCTAAAAAATTGTTTTTACTGAGTGAATCTATTTGATTTAATATTGGTATTTGCATAGTAATGAAAATCAACAATGATCGGCCATCTAGAATCTAAATAAACAACATGACAATTTGTCTATGTTAGCGGTTCCAAATGATTTATAAAAAGGATATATAATGCCCACCATAAACATGTTTATTAATAAAAAAAACATAAATTTATCTGTTTTATAATGTTAATATCTCACGTGTTATGTTGACCCAAACAGAAGCAAGATTTTTTTTTTCTTTTTAATGTTAATATCTTATTATTTCATATACTTTTGTTGTTGGGATATAAAATTATTGGTTGAAAACGTAACAATAAAATTTTAAAATTTCTATTTTCTAATTTCCCTTGTTGTCTTGTTTGGCTAGCTGTTTAATTGAGAAAGAAAGATTAATGTCTATTTAGTCATCCATAATTCCAAAATTTTATTTTATTTTTATATTTAAAATAAAAGCTCAAGGGTTATTGGTGAAAAAATATATATTTTGAGTACAATTGATGATTATATATAGCAGCAACCACATCTCTGACCCTAACTAAACCAACTAAATATAATAATCTAAGGGTCTGTTTGGTATGAAGCAACCATTTTTCAGATTTTTTTTTTAAAAATCCAATATTTTGTTGGGCAATACTTTTGAAACCGGCATAATTTATAAATGTGTCATTTAGCTTGGCTTCAACTGACATCTATATCCCCCAATTTTGAGTGTCCATAAGTATACACTTAAACTTATAGAAAATTGAACAAATAGACACATTCGTCCTACATGACAATTTTGTGTCCTATGTGGCGTCCTACATGTATTATTTCACGTAGGACGTGTGTATCTACTTGTTCCATTTTATGCAAGTGGCTACTTGTACACACTCAAAGTTGGAGGGCATAAATGTCAGTTGAAGTCAAGTTAAAAGGTTTATTTGTGTATGACATAATACATAAATTTGCCATTCAATTTGGTTTCATCTAACATCTATGTTCTCTAACTTTGAGTGTGCATAAGTAGACACTTACACTTGTATAAGATTGAACAAATAGATACATTCATCTTACGTGATGTCCTACATAGAAATTTTGTGTCCTACGTGGCGTCCTACATGCATTATGCCATGTAGGACGAATGAGTCTATTTGTTCAGTTTTATAGTGTTTACTTGTGCATACCAAAGTTGGAGGGTATAAATGTCAAATGAAGTCAAGTTAAATAGTGTATTTATGTGTTATGCCTTTATGTATCATGTCATGCCATATATAAATGTGTCATTTACTTTGGCTTCTACTGACATCTATGCACTCCAATTTTGGTCATGCATGGAATAATACACGAAGGAAACAGATTACCATGTAGGATCTCATGTAAAACACATGTGTTTATTTATTCAACTTTAAACAAGTAAAAGTTCCTACTTATGTACGCCCAAAGTTGGAGGACATAGATGCTATCAGAAGTCAGGTAAAAGACATGTTTATGTATTATACCTAAATTTTAACACACCACATACGATGTATAGTTAGCAATTAAGAATTCCACATAACTAATACATGTTCAAATTATTAAAAAGAATACATAAATAACTAATTCTTGTATAACTCTAACCAGCAACCAAACAACCAGTGAAATGTTCAATGAATTTTCTTTTGTAATTAATCACCAAATGAAAAATAAAATAAAATATTAAGACCAATTAAATATCTCTAATTAAAGTCAAATCAAAATCATTCACTTTCCTTCCTCTTTCCTATTACTTCCATTCTTCTCCCTCCTCCATTTCTCTGTATTTTCCTTCTCCTATATATAAATCATTCTCACTTCTCCACTTTTTCTCAAACTAAAAATTTCCCATTTCTCACACAATTTCTTACCCATAAATTAAATTACTACAAAAATGTCAGATTTCAACTTCGACAGTACTTGTACTTCTTCATATATAAGTGCACCTTCAAGTCTTCAATACCAACTCTTAATGAATCATGAGATCACTTTATCATAAGATAACTTTATTAGTATGAGAGAACATATAAATTAATCATAATTAATAAAAAATAATGTTATATGTAAAAAATAAACATAAAGTATTCAAGGGTTGTTTGATTCATGGGATAATATAATACAATCTACAATTAAGTTGGAGATTGAATTTACATATTATTTTAGCTAAATGGTCTCAGTATTATAATCTCGAAATAATTTTACAGATTATTTTGTAGGGTGTATAAGAATAATATTAAATGATGTATTTTTAATGCTTGTACTAGCTATACTGAGATTAATGTATTGTATTTTGTATGGAGTGTTTGGTTTATATAGTGGAAAGGATGTTGTAACTGATAATTGTGAATTTAATCATACTAATACGTACATAAATCCTTTATATTACTAATATCATATATCTCCATAGATTAATTAGACATATCTTAATATCAAATAGACTGTGTTGTATACAACTTTAAAAAATTTAACAAATGAGATAATCATAATATATACTGTATGTATTTTTATATATGCTACCAAACATACCTCTCATTGGTTTAGTGAAACTTCTTTTTTCTTTGTAAGATGAAAAGACTGTTTGTTTGGTTTCCCAAAAAACGTACACACGTATCTCTATAGCACCTTTCCTCTTTGTCGTACAAATAGTTCTTGTTTTGCTTGCTTCATTATATTTCTTTTAACTTTGAAAAAAAAAAAAAAGTTAATTTGATCTCATCTTTTTATTGGTACGTACATATTGTTAAAGTTCATTGTTTTTTTTTTTTACTTCATGATGAAGACTTCCATAGTTGATTTACTATTTATTTATTAGTTTTTTAGGCACATTAGGGAGTATATAATATTATTACAAAATTTAACTTAATGATTTTCCCTTGTATGCAGCAATTTGGAGTACAGTGACATTTATTTTATATAAAAAAATATATATTGTGAAGATTTATTTTGAGTGATTAAAGTATGGAAGGAAGTAGTAATTCTAGGAAAAAGAAAGGAGGACTTAAAGATGACTTCATTGATTTGGTCTTCTCATGGTCTGTTCAAGATATTCTTGATGATACTCTATATCAAAACCAGGTATTTTTATTTTTTTTGCCTATTTTCTAGATTATTTTTCGTTAATGGTGTTTGGTATGAAGGAAAATGTTTTTTATGGAAATATATATTTATTTGGAAATATTTTTCAATGAAATAAGTGATTTTTGAACTTATTTATCTTGTGTTTGGTGCATAAGCACACATAAAGTATTGTTTCAAGAGTATTTGTATATAATCTAGGCTAACGCGATGGAGAATAGGGGTAAGGTGTGGGGTGGTGGCAATGGGGGCTATGGAGGATGGGTGTGGGGTAGGTTGTGTGGAGAGGGGGCACTTAGGTGGAATGTCACTTGTGAAACTTGTTTTTCGTAGTCATTTTACTCGAACTCGTGTTTCTAGAAAATTGTTTTCCATAAATTTCTTATGTCTTGAACACGTCATGTGAAAAGTTGACATTGAAAAGTTAAAGGAAAGAGACATTGTTTTGGAAACGGACTACAAACGTAATTAAGACAAGCAAATTGAACTGAAGGGAGTATATATATTATATATGATTGCTACCAACAAGTTAATGGAATGCATGGCTTCCCATAATGCCAGAACAAGTTACTTGTTTCTCATTTAATTGAAAGTTTCCTGTTTTGTAGGTGGAGAAGATTCCAAAATCATTTGAATCAGTCGGTCATTACTTGGGATCGTTTCACTACTCGTTACTGGAAGAAATACGGGCTGATATTAGTGCTTCTTTGGAAGTCATAGACAAAGCACCTTTTGGTGAATTGATCTCCTTTGATGAGAAACCACTTGGATCACTATTTTTTAAAGTTCAGGTTGACTATTGGAGGAAACTGTCTGGTGACGGAAAGGAGCCTTATCGAACGTTGCCTGGAGATATTGTCATTATCTCAGGTGACAAACTGGAAACTGCTTCTGACCTGCTACGGCTTGGATGGAACTGGACATTTGCATTTGTAACGAGAGTCAGTGACGGTGAGAGTGATGATTCAAATGCATCCACTAGTTTTACAGTCAAAGTTGCTAGAGATATTGTGATTTCTGAGAGAAAGCAAAAATCGTTGTATATAGTGTATTTGGTAAATGTGCTACCAAGTAAGAGAGTATGGAGTGCACTGAGGATGAGAAAGAATTTGAACCTTATTGAGAAAGTTCTGTGCAGTGAGAATGAGGTAAATAATCTTACTGATTTACGTCCTTTTAGAAGCATCATCTAGAGTCTCCCTGCCTTTTAACGTACTTAATATATCCTAGATCATCAACAAACGTGGTATCCCTTATTTTTTTATATGTTGCTCGGGCTCTTCAAAAATGCTGCTAGGTGCATGTTGGATCCTCCAAAGGTAGTGCATTTTTGAAGGATCTAACATGGGCATGACAACATTTTTAGAGAGTCTGAGCAACATAGGTTCTGATACTTGGCTGCAATAATAAAGTACAATATGTTAGTACCTTTTAGATGCCTCGTAGGTGTGAAGTGATCGATGAGATTATATTTCAAGTTAATGTGTGATGGTCATCTTGTTTCTCAAGTGTGACTGAACAAAATACATAACAGAGATGACATTAGCATTCTTTTAGAAATGAAAGACAAAAATGGCAGTGTATGTATGTTTATAAAAGTTATGTGTTGCTTGTGATAATATTACTCTAATGCTAAGTAATATTTATCTTCTTCGATATACAACAGTTGTATGATATCTTTTAATGAGTTTCATCTTTTTATTGATGGTTAGTTTTCAATTTTGTGTTTGTGTCTAAGAGATGTAATGTAGATTCACTGGTCTCTTGGGTCGGAATTGACTGAACTTCCTTTCATTTTTATTACTTCTAAACCTTTACTCTTTATTTTAGAAAATATGTACTCTTAAACAATGAAAAGCAATGTGATGTGTGCCCTTAAGCAGTTAAAAACAATTTATGCTCTACTGTACGCCTTGTCTCTCAGTGTATGGTTTCGATAACTTAATATCAATACTTTTCGTTCAGACCTCAAAAGGAATACTATGTGTTCCTCAAAAACTGAAACATGCTCTTTCTTTCCACATGCAGCCTCAACGGCTGTTTTCGTTCCTTAGATATATGGATTTGGACTGTATGCTTGTCTTTTCCTGTTATCAACATCTGTTCACTTAGTTCATTTTGTGAATGAAAAGACACTTGTTTGTGTGCAGAAACAGGATGAGGATAAATGTGACGTTTGTTCTGCATCTAATAATGATGGACTATCTGGAGAAGTTGTTAATAATCTGCTGTCTAAGTTGAATGATTCGCAGGCTGAGGCGATCTTGACCTCTCTTGATTCGTTGAAGTGTTGTCACAAGCCTTCAGTTGAACTCATATGGGGACCACCTGGTACAGGCAAGACCAAGACTATGAGTGTCATGCTCTTCATACTATTGAAAATGAAGTATAGAACTCTTACTTGTGCCCCAACAAATGTAGCAATAACACAAGTGGCTTCGCGGTTAGTTAAACTGATCAGTGAGTCATTTAATAATCCTTCTGCAGAAATGGATATTTGTCCTCTGGGTGACATTCTCTTGTTTGGGAATAAGTACCGTCTGAAAGTTGGTCAAGATATTGAGGAGATATACCTTGATTATCGTGTTGATAGGCTGGTGGAGTGCCTCGTACCCGTGACTGGTTGGAAACACTGTATAAGTTCCATGAGCGGGTTTCTGGAAGATTGTATTTCTCAGTATAACATATATGTTGACAATGAGTTGATCAAACTGAAGGAGCTTTCTGATCAAGAGGAAGCTCAGAAGGAAGAAGAAAAAATCAGCTCATTGATTGATTTTGTCAAATCCCGGTTCAAATCTACAGCTTCATCTTTGAGAAGATGCTTGCTTACATTCTGTACTCATCTACCATTAAGTTTTATTCGGGAGGAGAATTTTGAAAAAATGGTACGCTTTATCTCCCTACTTGATTGTTTGGAGGGAATGTTATTTCAAGACAATCTTGGCTCTAAAGATCTTGAGCAACTCTTCTCTTGTCAACAACCAATTGAAGTCTCTTCCGACTCATTTTTGGATGAGTGGTCCTTACCTTGTTTAAGAAGCCAGTGCCTATTTCTTCTGAAAGATGTTTGCCAATCTCTCGGAGAACTGAGTCTTCCTCGTGCAATGAGCAAGGAGTCGATTAGGGAATTCTGTATACAAAAGGCTTCCTTGGTTTTCTGTACGGCTTCAAGTTCGTATAAGCTTCATCCACTGGATATAAAGCCATTTGACTTATTAATTGTTGATGAAGCTGCCCAGTTGAAGGAGTGTGAATCTGTCATACCCTTTCAACTACCATGTCTGAGGCATACTGTGTTGATGGGCGATGAGTGTCAACTGCCCGCAGCAGTCATGAGTCGAGTAAGTTTGCTGCCTTTCATGTGTGCAATTTAAAGGAATTGCAAGTTCAACTGATATCTTGTCACTATAACTTCTTTTTACACAATTTTGTTACTCTACAGGTTTCTGAAGAAGCTGACTTTGGAAGGAGCCTTTTTGAAAGACTCAGTTCTCTGGGTCATTCTAGACATTTGCTTAACATACAGTACCGAATGCATCCATCAATTAGCCAATTTCCAAATTCAAGTTTCTATCGTAAGCAAATTTGTGATTCCCCTGATGTAAAATATAAAACATATGAGAAAAGGTATCTTCCAGGAAGATGTTTTGGCCCGTATTCCTTTATAAATGTTCCGTTGGGTAAAGAAGAAATGGATGATGTTGGACATAGCCGAAGGAATATGGTTGAGGTGGCTTTAGTGATGAAGATAGTGGACAACTTGTATAAAGGTACAATTTTATGGTTAGAATATTTCCTGAAATGCTCTTTTGTCTTTAAACTTGAAATCAACGATAATTTTTTTCTTGTTCAAAAGATGATGTAAGATGGTACCGATAGGTGTATCAGGGTATTGAAGGGAATGATTTAATCCCAAATTTAGGTGTAAGTTCTGCGTACACTCCACACTCCCCAGACCCCACTTGTGGGATTATACTGGGTTTATTCATTATTGTGTTGTTGTTGCTTCTGACCCAAATTTTGTATTTGGGCTTGTGTCATCGAGTCTTTGATTACAAAATTTCCACTAGCAAACTTGATTGAGTGATGTGCAACAACTTGATTTGCTTGTGACGACTGCACTCTTTCAAATATCAAGTTTGTGCTCTCTTAATTAATGTTTTAATTGTGACGACTGCCTCTCTACCCCACAAATGTAGGGGTAACATACATCCTACCTTCCCCAGACCCCAGTTGTGCGATGACACTGGGTATGTTATTATTGTCGGTTTTGCATGAGTGGGAGCTTCTTTGTAGCTTAAATGCTTTTCCAGTTTTTTATTTTAGTTTTTGTTATCTTCTTCTACACAGGTTGGGGTGGCTCCAGGAAGAAACTCAGCATTGGTGTTATATCACCTTATGCTGCACAAGTTTTGGCTATAAAAGGTAAACTTGGGCGGAGGTATGATAACCTTGAGGGTTTTGAAGTTAAGGTGAAGTCAGTAGATGGATTTCAGGGAGGGGAGGAAGATATCATTATAATATCTACGGTGAGATCTAATTTAGGCGGATCAATTGGTTTCTTGTCTAGTCTTCAAAGGGCTAATGTTGCTTTGACCAGGGCTCGGTATGGATCAATCTTTGTTGCTGTTTCATGACATCTAGATCTTTATTCTTCTATGCTGACATTTCAGGGTTTTATTCTTGGTAGGCACTGTCTATGGATTCTTGGCAATGAGCCAACATTACTTAATAGCAACTCTGTGTGGGAAGCATTAGTTCTGGACGCCAAGGAACGTCAATGCTTCTTTCATGCTGATGAAGACAATGACATGAGGACAACAATTTTAGATGTTAAGAAACAATATGATCAGCTGGATGATTTACTTAATGCAGACAGTATTTTGTTCAAATCTCAACGATGGAAGGTAAAATCTTGTGCTTTAGTTCTCTTGCTTTGTAAATTTTAGAATTGTGTCACTCACATAGATACAGTCCAAAGGTTGCATATGGCTGTTTTATGTTAAGCTTTTGATACATTAATGAGTAATGCATGCTGTTTTTCTTATGGTTTACTTCCTTATTTGGAACAATTGTGCTTCACTTCTAAAGTGTCGTCTTGCATTAGCATTACCACGACACTTGCTCCTGGCCCGGTGCACCTATAATTCTAAGTTTTGTGTGTTCTACTTGCATCAGTTATAGTCAATGGCAAACATCTGTCTTTGTCCATTTTATAAGTTTGTTCTTTCTTAGTGTCTGCTTCACTCATTGAAGCTAAACTTTGGTCAGTATTATTTGTCACACATAAATACATGATTCCTGTACTTGTGAGTTTACTTGGCCATCATGATGTATTTTCTTCCGCATGGTTGCTCAGGTACTCTTCAGTGACAATTTTAGAAAGTCATTTGTAAAGTTAACATCCTCCCGGTTGAGGAAGTCTGTGATAAGTCTTCTGGTTAAGCTGGCCAGTGGATGGCGTCCCAAGAGAAAGAATGTGGATTCAATTTCTGAGAGCTCATCTCAAATTGTACAACAATTTAAGGTTGAAGGGCGGTATGCTGTTTGCTCTATTGATATTCAGAAATACTCCACCTATACTCAAGTGCTGAAGGTTTGGGATGTATTACCCTTGGAGGAGGTTGCAAAGTTGTTGAAACGTCTTGATAACATATTTTCAATGTACACTGATGAATTCATTAAGCTTTGCAAGGAGAAGTATCTTGAGGGGTAAACTAATTCTTTTGTGCTCTGTAGATTCAAGTATTACGATGAACGACAATTGCTTCTTGTAAATTTTATTTTAACCTTCTCATGTTTGTACAGGGACTTGGAAGTTCCGAAGATTTGGATGCTTTGTCGTGAGATAAGTCAGTATAAAAGCATTTCTAGTGAGAGCCAATTGAATCATGAATCAACTGGTGCGGAAGATGGTAGAAATTGTGTTGAACATTCAAGAGTCAGCGAAAGCTTGTTATTGATGAAGTTTTACTCATTATCATCTGGTGTTGTCAATCATTTGCTCTTTGATCACCATGGTGAAGCATTAGATCTCCCTTTTGAAGTTACTAATGAAGAGAGGGAGATAATCCAATTTAGTAGAAGCAGTTTCATCCTTGGTCGCTCAGGCACGGGGAAAACCACAGTTTTGACCATGAAATTATTGCAGAAGGAGCAACAACATCACAGTTCTGTTGAAGGATTAAATAAAGCAGGGAAGCAAGAAGTAAATCGATTTGAAGGGGAAGCAGATGAGGATAATCAATGTGTAGGAGAGGCTAGCAGTGAAACCCTGCGTCAACTTTTCGTGACTGTTAGTCCGAAACTTTGTTATGCTGTCAAACAGCAGATTTCTCAGTTGAAAAGGTGAGTCCTAATCTTGTTGTCTGAGTTTACTGGAGCTGCTTGCTTTAATAAGTTGCATGCTTGATCCTTGATGACTAATGAAACCTTGAACTAAAGTGTAATGTTTAATATTGGAAAATAATCTCCGTTGTATCATATGTACTTGCAATTATGGAACATTTAGTTATAGCTTTAGGGCTTTGGTCTAGGGGTAAGAGCGCAAAGTGTGATGTCGTCTAGGCATGAGTCAGGGGTTTGAACCCCACCTGGTCCTTAAGTTTAAGAAGGGAGGAGGACTGGAGGGTGGCCCATTCTCCACCGAGTTTTACTCAGTGCGCCACTGGCCATCGAGATTTCTAGGTTATTAAAACAGTTCATAACAATTAATTATATGCTTGCTTGTTTTGTATTTGCATATGTCTAATGAGAGCTAGATGCCATGGTTATTGATATTCGGAATGAAGTTTAATTGATTTAGTGCTGCCTTTTATATTTTGAAAACATTTGCTGCTGTGTGACCTACCTAAATCTTTTATTGTCAAATTGCAACCTATAAAAGTCGGTGTTCTTAACCTCTACTAACACATAGTATTTGCATTTCCAAATTTCTCTTAGCTTTATAAACAAGTAGGAATGCAGGTAGGTAGTTAAGGTATTCACATGATAACAACTCTTCCCATAAACTTGACAATTTGGTGAGCTAGTTTAAATGAATTGTAGCTGGGCGTGTCGTAGATTTTCACACTTCTAATTGCTTGTTTTTTATGTTATTATGATTTATTAGTTCAGACATGTTTTTCAGGTGAGTTAGTGTTGCGGCTATAAGATTCAACAAAGTTTTTATTTTTATCCAATTTAGAGGTGTGCATTCTTAATTTTGCAGCTTTGCTTGTGGTGGAAGTTTCTCAGCAGAAAACAGCTTGCTTGAAATTGATGATTTGGATGGGACGACACAGTTTAGAGATTTACCGAACTCTTTTATTGGCATTCCTTACATGAAATACCCTCTTGTGATCACATTTCACAAGTTCTTATTGATGCTTGATGGAACAATAGGTTCTTCCTACTTTGATAGGTTCCATTTGAAGTGGGACCTGTTTGAAGACAGAAGTTTGAGGTCAGCTGCTTTAAGATCCTTCATAAGAGAGAAGGAGGTCAACTACGAATGCTTCTGTAGCTCGTATTGGCCTCACTTCAATACTGTGTTGACGAAAAATCTTGATCATTCAAGGGTGTTTACTGAAATTCTTTCTCATATAAAAGGAGGATTAAAATCAGGAGATTTTCATGATGGGAAACTCAGCAAAGAGGATTATATTTCAATGTCCGAACATCGAGTCTCTTCGATAAGTGCAGAAAAAAGAGATAGAATATATGGTATTTTTCAGGATTATGAAAAGATGAAGATGGAGCGTGCTGAATATGATATAGCTGATTTGGTTAATGATCTTCATAGTCGGCTAAAGTATCAGCATCTCGATGGTGACAAAGTAGATTTTGTGTATATTGATGAAGTTCAAGATCTCACAATGAGACAGATAGCGTTGTTCAAATATATTTGTAGAAATGTCGAAGAAGGATTTGTTTTCTCTGGTGATACAGCACAAACAATTGCTAGGGGGATAGATTTCAGGTTTGAAGACATTAGGAATCTATTCTATACCGAGTTTGTCATGGATTCAAAGGGTGATGAAGTTTCCCATAGAAAAGACAAGGGACATTTATCACCTGTTTTTCAGTTGCTTCAGAACTTCCGGACACATGCCGGTGTACTCAAACTAGCACAGAGTGTAGTTGATTTGCTTTGCCATTATTTCCCTCACTCTGTTGATTTCTTGAAACCTGAAACAAGTCTTATTTATGGTGAGGCTCCGGTATTGTTGAAGCCCGGAGCTGATGAAAATGCAATTCTAACTATTTTTGGGAATACTGGACGTATTGGAGAAAAAATGATAGGTTTTGGTGCAGAGCAGGTAATCTTAGTGCGGGATGAATCTGCGAAGAAGGAAATCTCCGGTTATATTGGAAGGCAAGCACTTATTTTGACTATTGTTGAATGCAAGGGTTTGGAATTTCAGGCAAGTCCTAAATTTGCTTAATTATTATTCTTGGGATTTCAATTGTTAGTATCAATCAAATCTGTTTTCTTTTTAATGATATTCAACATATTTATGTGTAGCCAAGGTTTTTAATGATATTCGATATAACTGCTTCATTTACCCATCCCATCTACTGGTTGATAGCTTTACTTTTATCATCTTATTTCCTTCTTTGATCTTTTGCAGGATGTACTGCTGTACAATTTTTTCGGGTCATCGCCACTTAGAAATCAGTGGAGAGTGGTATATGAGTTTATGAAAGGAAAAGTTGTAGTAGATATATCCTGCCCAAATTTCTGTGAAGAACGACATTGTCTATTGTGTTCTGAACTAAAACAGCTTTATGTTGCTATCACTCGAACAAGACAAAGGTTATGGATTTGTGAGAGTGTTGAAGAATTTTCCAAGCCTATGTTTGACTACTGGAGAGGATTGTGTCTAGTGGAAACAAGGGAGATAAATGATTCACTTGCACAAGCAATGCAAACTTCTAGCACCCCGGAGGAGTGGAAGTCGAGGGGAGTGAAGGTCGGTCCAGTTGATTTGCCTCGTCTTATTTCTATTAACAAATTCATCTGTTCAAGTCTCACTCTTGTGTTGCTTTACATCTGAGCATTAATTGGCCCTGATTAAGTGCTTTGATGTTATCATGCAGCTCTTTTGGGAAAAGAATTATGAGATGGCAATCATGTGCTTTGAAAAAGCAGGAGAAAGGAATTGGGAGAAAAGGGCAAAGGCAGCTGGATTCAGGGCAGCTGCTGAGAGAATTCATGATTCAAATTCCAAAGAGTCTTCCACCTACCTACGTCAAGCGGCTGAAATTTTTGACTCGATTGGGAGGTTTGAGGCAGCAGCAGAATGTTTTTATGATTTGAGGGAGTATGAACGGGCAGGTAACATTTGGTGTTTACTTTCTCAAGAGTTCCTTCTTTGCTAGGCATTTTCTAGTGTTTTATTAGAACATTTCTTCATTTCCATTTACTCCCTCCGTTTTCAATTATTTTTTTGTCTTCTTTACTTCCTTAAACTTTGTGCCAAGTCAAAATCCAGACAAACAAATTGAAACGGAGGGAGTATCAAATACTTGTATCGAATTTTGAGCTCTAGTTATATACATCTCAGAAGATTTCTGTTAGTAATAATGAACTGTACTGCTATGCTAGGTAGACCTCGAGTGACTTATTTAAGTTCGAGTCTTGTGCTAAATGAACTATGTCTAGTATTAAGTGGAGAAGAATATGGTTGGCCCAAAGGTTTTGCTCTAGACAGATTTCTATGTCATAAAAAAAGAACCTCTATGGACTTTTTACTTCACTCACATTCTTTTTATGGTGTTCTGAGTTGATGACTAGAGAATCTTTTCCTGGTCTTTCTTTGCATCACGGTAACCTTACATCATGACTAAATAATGTTGTTTTTTGATCGTTTTCTTAACTTTCTAAACTTACCCGCAGGACAAATTTATTTGGAGAAGTGTGGAAAACCTGAGCTGATTAAAGCCGCTGAGTGTTTTACACTGGCTGGATGCTATGAGCAGGCTGCCAGAGTTTATGCAAAAGGCAGTCATTTCTCAGAGTGCTTATCAGTTTGCACCAAAGGAAAGTGTTTTGACTTGGGTTTGCAATATGTTGAGTACTGGAAACACGATGCTGCTCAGTGTAGTACAGTGGGGGAAAGAGAGACTGAAATTGACAAAATGGAAGAGGAGTTCCTGAGCAATTGCGGGTTACATTATTTTGAGCTCAACGACCGAGTTTCCATGATGAGATTTGTGAAAGCATTCCCTAGAATTGACATGAAACGCAATTTGTTGAAGTCTTTGGGGTGCCTTGATGAGTTGCTGTTGTTAGAAGAAGAGTTAGGGAACTTCACTGAAGCTGCAGAAATTGCCCGGCTGGAAGGGAATATTCTTCGTGAAGCGGATATAACAGCAAAGGATGGGGATTTTGGCAAGGCATCATCACTTGTTCTTCTTTATGTTCTCTCTAACTCTCTGTGGATCTCAGGAGGTAAAGGTTGGCCTTTGAAGTCATTTTCAGAAAAAAAGGAACTTTTGGAAAAGGCCATGTCGTTTGCGATGCATGGATCCAATTCTGAAACCACGTGCACCGTGATTAAAGTTTTATCAAACGAGTCAAGTGATTGGTCTGGCTTGAAGCACGGTTATGTCGCGTCTCAGAAATGTAACAGTCCAATCGGTGAAATTTTGAGTTGTAGAAAAATATTGGATGTTCATTGTGAAACTAACGTGGCAAAGTATATTTGGGATGATAATTTATCAGCCAATGTGATGAGTTCAGAAGAATTGGTTTTATGCAGCCAAGTCAGTGTAAGGACACTGCTTCACTTTTGGAATTTGTGGAAGAAGACTATCTTTGATCTAATAGAATCTCTCCAGGGCCTTGAGATTGAAAACTTCGGAAAGTATAACATCTTATGTAATTTCTGCGTAAATTACTTTGGTGCTAGGCAGCAATTGAATGATCTTAATGTTACATATGCACTGTTGCATCCTGCTGCTGAATGGGTGAAAAAAATTCACCAAAGCTTCATCCGACGGAGCAAAAAGATTGTATTTGTTGATGCTCGGCATTTTATTTATGCTGCTCGACAACACTGGCATACCGAATTACTTATTGTTGGCTTGAAGGTTCTGGATACTCTCGAGTCCATCTATAAGTCGGCTGCAACTTCAATGTCTCATTTCCGGCAAAGCATGTGCCTTCTAAACATATATGAGATTGCTAAATTTTTAAGTGAGTCCAAGGAGCTTGATTCTAAGAGTTCTCAGTGGAGACTACGGAATTTCTTGACACTGTCAACAAAATACTTTGAGATAGCCTTCCCCCTTGACCCCCGACAATCGTTGATGGAGAATATCATTTCTCTAAGGAGAACCGAGCTTTCCCGTGACTTGTTGCAAGAATTCATCCATCAAGATGTTAACTTCAGAGGTCCTTTGAGCTATGGACAGATTGGAAGAGTGATGATCATATGGCTGGCCTCCGGAAAACTATCTGAAGATTTGTACAAGAAAATTGTTGGAAGAGTTCCAACAGAATCATGGAAATCATTCATGGAAATTCTCAGCTGCATTAGAGCGACAAAAATGGAAGAATATCAATCAGGCAATGCTTGTGGAGGCAAAATTTCCGAGTCTCGTTTAGCTAAAGATATTGTTCCAAGTGAAGCTATGGAGGTTACATTAGTTGAGAAATTTTATGAAGCATTACAAGATACCTATATTGTGAACTGGAGCAGACTAAGTGACTATATCTCCCCTGGTTGTTTCTTGTATCTTGTTGAGCGCTTTTTGATTTTGGTGTCACAGTCTAAAGGGTTCTTTTTCACTACAAAATCATCATTGGTGGAATGGCTGATTTCCGAGAAGTCTGAGGTCCTACACACTTCCAAGGTTGCTATTATTAACCAACAGTCTTTGGAAAAGTTTTATCAGTCTGTTCTTACGATGGTACAACAATTCCTTTTCAATAAAGGCAATACAGCTCTTTGGATTACACGATCGGGGATAAATTTTGAGGCATACTATAAGCTATTGGTTATGAGATTGGTTGTTGTCCTATGTTTGCTGTGTGTGAACAGTGGGAAATACTATGATGTTCTTTCCTTTGTGCTCAGAAACAACGATGTTAGGAACCAGCTTCCAAAGTATTTCTATGGCATTCTTTTTCCATGTTTGAAGCGGAGGTACTTCCAGATCAGTGAAATCGGGGAAGCATTTCAAATTGCTGGAGATCCTCTTTTGTGTGTTAACCTGCGTGAGAATACCACCAGAAAGCTTCCTAATGTCATTCATGTGCAGTTGGGAACAAACTGCAATATAGAAGACATTTTTGACTTGCTGTTTCCGGCTAGAAATGAGTCACAAGCTCCTAATTCCACAGTTTCGGAAGTCATGACTAATCCGGATGCTACTTCTTCCTCGGATTGTTCTGACCAACCAAAGATTTTGACAGTGCCATGTTCTGAAGTCTCTCCTCCGTCGGAGCAGAATCTGCAACAAGTGAATTGGGACTTGTTTCAAGAAGTATCTGATTTTTTGAAGCTTATTGGCAGTGAAAACAATGGAACTACCTCGACTGTCGCTCAGAAGATGAAGGTAATCCTAGTTCTCTTTAATTATAACTTGGAACTTGTAAAGGTGTCTACTAGGTAAGGATTAAATTATTACAGTACTATTAGGCATAAAACGCGTAAATAGACACTCAACCTGGCCTTTAGATGGCAAGTAAAGAACTCCAACTTTGAGAGTGTACATCTAAACGCCTCAACTCAAATTGATTCCACTGTGTCAGTTGAACACTCAACTTACAAAATGATAATCTACACATGCATCTCCAAAATTTATATGTCACGTTAGTGTCAGGTGTCCATGAGACATAGTGGGAAAGAGTTGGAGTGTTTACTAATGTGACCGAGTTAATGTCTCTAGACGTGTCTCTCAATGTTGGAGTGCTTACTTGCCCGCATAGGCCAAGTTTGAGTGTATGTTTATGAATAATTATTATTAAGGTACTAAACTTATTTTTTTTTAGGAGGAAATAAATATGCACATAAAGTTCTTGACTGCTGCCATTACTCTGCCTGAGCTGAAGAAGCCTGACGCTGGTGAGGACATGGCTGAGGAAATGCAACGTATGCTTCAAGAGCTGCAACAGCTCCATTCATTTTTGGATACGAGGTATGATGCTTTCTTACCATCGTGCTACTTGCATTTATAGGTCGCTCTTGTTTAGATGTACACTTCCAAAGTTGTTTTGGACGTTCAAAATATATCCATTTCGAAAAGTTTCTTTCATGCTAAAAGCATTCCATCTTAGGAACTATGGCTTTAGCTCCTGATGTAATCCTTTCTTGAGCCCTTTTCTTTTATAGTAATGTCCTATCGGAAACAACATTTCTACCTCCACAACGTAAGGGGTAAGGCTGCATACGTACCATCCTCCCTAGACCCCACTTGTGTGATTACACTAGTATGTCATTGTTGTCATCCTATTAACAAATGTTTTGTTCCAACTACTTGTCGTCACGCTTACACATACATTTATAAGTTTGTTGAGGCAATAGTTCCATTTCTTTCTCTTTTTTTGGAATAAAAACTCTTGATGATGAATTGTTGCATTGATGCTATACAGCAACTTGGAAGTAGCAAAAGCTGAACAACTATTGAAGAGTTTGCTGTCAAGAAAGCCCAATATTGAAGCTTTATTGAGTCAATGCATTGTACCAACAACATTGAAGGATTCATGTGAGGAACAAGGTAATACAGTGTGTGTTGAAGATGAAGAGATAGAGTCACCGTCTATCGCGGCCTATTCTGAAAGCAGTAACAAGGCCACTGAAAAGAAGCAGCCAAAGGGGAAGGCCAAGGCCAAGTCCAAAAAATCTAGAAAGGGAAAAGGAAAAAAGTAGTAAATCATGCTAACAATATAGTCCTCACTTTTATGATTTTCTTCACTTTTTATGCAATCTTGTTGCTTTGAATGCAAGGAATTAAGGTGAAGTGAACTCTTTTATGTTCTTGACATGTTTTGTGTTATAAATGTGATATGGGCTGATTTACTTAAATGTCATTTTTTAGGTTGCTAATGTTTACTCGTATGTTGTTCAACCTCACAGATAAAACATTAGCTTGTCATCTATGGTCTAATATTTTCTCGTAAGATATTCAGTTTACTCAAAAAGATCCATAATTTGCGAGAGTTGTTTTATTGTGATATCAAGATAGTATATTCAACTTAAGATTCATTTATTTGTAGTATATTGTACTTAGGAAATAGGACTAATGCATATGTAGCCTAGTCCCAGGTCTAGTCTAGTTGGAAATCTAGTAGCCAAAGTATCATAAAACTCTTATGTACTTGGTGTGTTGTACTTTCTTTTGGAGGCTAAAATACTAGTGATTTTCTTCTTTTTTTGTTGTTGCTTGGTTTGAATATATATAAAAGGGAAAAATGTTTGAAATATATCCGAACTTTGACTGAAATTGTTGTAACAATACCAAGCTTTGGGAAGAACCTTTTACCCATGCACTATTTAATAGTGTATTTTAAAGGTATATGTGTGTCTACGTGGACATCATAAATATTGCATCATTATAAATAGTAACTTGTCCACGTGGGCACATATATATCTTTAAAATACATTATTAAATAATGCAGGGGTAATAGGTCCTGCTCAAAGTTTGAAATTGTTACAACAATTTCGATCTTCAAATATATTTCGAACCCTTTTCTCTATATAAAAACATGAGTGAGTAAACGGTATAATATATCATACGTGCAAAAAAGGGAATTGTACTTTAATCCCTAGAAACGATGGCTTTTCATTATATATAAAATCATGATCACTATATCAAAAATGATTTTTATTGGTAATTATTTAATGATAATTAGTACTTTTTATAAATATCTCTTAAGTCTATAACAACATTAATTAGATACTAATGTTAGTAAAGACTTTAGCACTTTTTACTCTATATTTATTGTCGCTAAAAACTGTTTTTATCGTAGTGTTCAATCTATGTGATTTAATATTGGTATTTGCATAGTAATGGAAATCAACAATGATCGGCCATCTAGAATCTAAATAAACAACAACACAATTTGTCTATGTCAACTGTCCCAAATTATTTATAAAAAGGAAATACCCACCATGAACGTGTTTATTAATAAAAAAACATAAATTTATCTGTATTATAATGTAAATATCTCACGTGTTATGTTGACCCAAACACAAGCAAGAATTTTTATTTTTTTTGTAATGTTAATATCTCATTACCTCATAAACTTTTGTTGTTATATATATATATATATAAATTGGTTGAAAACCGTGACAATAAAATTTTAAAATTTCTATTTTCTAATTTCCCTTGTTGTCTTGTTTGGCTAGCTGTTTAATTGAGAAAGAAAGATTAATGTCTATCTAATCATCCATAATCCCAAATTTTTATTTTATATTTAAAAAAAGCTTAAGGGTTATTGGTGAGAATATATATATATATTTTGGGTACAATTGGTGATTATATATATAGCAGCACCACATCTCTGACCCTAACTAAACCAACTAAATATAATAACCTAAGGGTGTGTTTGGTATGAATGAAGGAGCCATTTTTCTGAAATGTTTTTGGATTTTTCCAGTATTTTGTTGGGCAATACTTTTGAAAAAAGTATAATATATAAACATGTTTTTTAACTTAGCTTCAACTGACATTTATGTCCTTCAACTTTAAGTGTCCACAAGTAAGCTTATAGAAAATTGAACAAATAGACACATTCGTCCTATATGACGTCCTACATGGCAATTTCTTGTCCTATGTGGCATCCTACATGTATTATGTCATGTAGGACGTGTGTGTCTACTTGTCCATTTTATACAAGTTTAAGTGTCAACATGTACACATCCAAAGTTGAAGGGCATAGATGTTAGCCGAAGCCAAGTTAAAGGCTTATTTATGTATGACATAATACATAAATGTGCCTTCTACTCGACTTCAACTGACATCTATGCCCTCCAACTTTGGGTGTGCACAAGTAAACACTTAAACTTGTATAAGATTGAACAAATAGACACATTCATCTTACGTGGCATCCTACATGTATTATGCCATGTACGACGATTGTGTCTATTTGTTCAGTTTATACAAGCTTAAGTGTCTATTTGTGCACACCCAAAGTTAGGGGGCATATATACTAAATGAAGTCAAGTTAAAATGGTGTATTTATGTGTTATATTGTATTATGTCATGCCATGTATAAATGTGTCCTTTACTTTAGCTTCAACTAACATCTATGCTCTTCAACTTTGGACATGCACATGTAGACACTTGAACTTGTGTAAATTGAACAAGTAGACATACAAATTCTACGTGAAATAATACATATAAAAAACAGATTACCCATGTAGGATGTCATGTAAAACACATGTGTCTATTTATTCAACTATATCAAGTAAAAATTCCTTCTTATGCTATCAAGTAAAGTAAAAGACACATTTATATATTATACCTAAATTTTAACACACCAAATACGATGTATAGTTAGCAATTAAGAATTCCACATAACTAATACATGTCCAAATTATTAAAAAAAATACATAAATAACTAATTCTTATATAACTCTAACCAGCAACCAAACAACCAGTCAAATGTTCAATGAATTTTCTTTTGTAATTAGTCACCAAATGAAAAACAATAACATATTTTAGTCACCAATTAAATATCTCTAATTAAAGTCAAATCAAAATCATTCACTTTCCTTCCTCTTTCCTATAACTTCCATTCTTCTCCCTCCTCCATTTCTCTGTATTTTCCTTCTCCTATATATAAATCACTCTCACTTCTCCACTTTTTCTCAAACTAAAAATTTCCCATTTCTCTCACAATTTCTTTCCCATAAATTAAATTACTACAAAAAAATGTCAGATTTCAACTTCGACAGTACTTGTACTTCTCCATTTATAAGTGCACCTTCAAGTCCTCAACATTTTGGTTCAACATTCTTTTTTAGTGCTCCTACTAGCCCTACTCGTATCTCCGCTCTCTACGGAGATACTAACGTTACTCATGATAATGATAATGATGATGATACAAATGATTTCGCTTTTGAATTTAGCGGACATGAAATAATGGAGAAAAGTACAATAGCAGCTGACGAGTTATTTGATGGCGGGAAAATCAAGCTAAAGCAAGTAATAGTACCCATTGAGTCGCCGAAAATGAAACAAAAGAACAAAGATATTCTAAATTCTCAATTAAATTCTTCTATGAGAGTATCAGATCTTTTGTTAATCAAGGAAAAAGATGAAACTATTGATGATACGGAAAAAACAGAGTCCTCTGTTTCATCATTGATATCGTTATGGAACAGAAGATGGAAATTGAAAGACTTATTGTTGTTTAGAAGTGCTTCTGAGAGTCGAGCTAGTAGTAATACGGAAGAGATGAGTAAGTACGCGTTGGTGAAGAAAGCTCGTGAAGAAGACGTTAAGAAGGAGGGATCGAGATCGAGCTCGAGCTCGAGGAGGAGGAAGATGGGATCAAATTCGGCTCATGAATTGCATTATAAGATGAAGAGGGAGGTGTTGAAAGATATGAAGAAGAAAACATTTTTACCATATAAGCAAAGTGTTCTTGGTTGGCATGGCTGTTATGGTCTTGATGATACAATTTCAATGTACATGTCCCCTCGTTAGTAGTTTATAATATAATTATTTTTATGTGTAATTATATATTTGTTTGATATATACATTTTCGCTTGCCGTAGAATTTGAACTTGATGAGTTTAATTTCTAAGGTTATTAGCGCTGAATTCATTTTGATAAGAAGTTGTGAATAATATTTCAAAAGGAAGTGTCATTATTGATTATTAGAAAGAACTCAACTTTAACTTTATTGAGCTCGTAAAGAGTTCGGAAAAAAAATGGAAATATGTAATTGAACATATTTCACTACTATATATACTATTATTACATGTTTTAATTATGAATTTTCTACGCATCTTACACTTAAATACATATATTTTTGCTACCAGATACACAAAAATGGGGAGAGAGGCGAGAGAGATTCGTATGTATCTCAAATACATGTGAATCACACTAGATATACACTAGATACATGTTTCTGTATGTATCTGGAATACTAGATACATGGAAGAGTGACGAGCGAGATGGGAGAGAGGCGAGGGTGGCGAACGAGATTTGTTATGTATCTTACATAGGTGTAAATCCACTTGGATATGATGTATCTAAAACAAATTACATCTAAATTTGAACCATGTATCTGAGATACATGTATCTAGAGGCATCAAAATCTGATTAGATGCGTAATATTGCAAACTAGAATGGATATAAGTAATTAATTCTTAAAATAGTGGAATCTATGTAAATTCCCTTTATCTTTTATTTTTTCAAATTTAAGAGACTGACTATGTATTATAACTCAATAAAAAATGATATGTATACTCATATATCAAGTTGCAAAATGATGTGACCTCATACATTTCAATCCTTTGGCATTATATATGGATTTCCTAAATTTGAAATAGTAAAAAGATATCTTTTTTTTTCAAAGGTGTTTTGTACACATGTTCTTTTGGAAAGGAAATAATTGAGTGATAATTAAAACTTTGTGATTTTAAGATAATAATGATTCCCTTTATTGACAATGATATGACCCTAATAATTAAAGTTAACAAAGAAAGAAAGGAAATTGTGAGGTAGCCCCAACCCTTGTTGTCAACTTGTGAGGTACCAATAGCTATACTGCTTTGTTTTACATGTAAATGTTGATGAGATTTTGCCCACTTGCTGACTTTGGCAAACATACTAATTAATTTATCCCAAACTATTAGGGTTGTGTATAGGTTAGTTCAATTCGATTTTAAAGTTAATTGATTTGATTTATTAGTTATTGGTTTGTTGACATGTGAAATTGTTATAGAATCGTTAAGATATTAGCTTATTGGTTATTGGTTTGTCGGTTATTAACCGTTATCGATTTAACCATTAAGTTTTGATTTAAAAAAAAGGCAAAATACATAAATATGTCCTTAAATTTGGCTACAATTCACATCTATGCCCTCCATCTTTGGATGTGCATGCACAAGTAGACACTTAAACTTGTATAAAGTTGAACAAATGGACACACGCGTCCTATGTGGCATCCTGCATGACAATTTTTATCCTATGTGGTGTCCTATTAGTATTATGCCATGTAGGACTCATGTGTCTACTTGTTCAACTTTATACAAGTTAAAGTGTCTACTTGTGCAAACCCAAAGTTGAAGGACATAAATAGAAAATGAGGTTAAGTTAAAGGGCACATTTATGTATTATGCCCAAAAAAAATCATGAAAAATCACTTAGAAACAAGGTGACAAACCAAATGAATCATGCACATGAGTTATCATAATGCATCTTGCTCAAAAGCAAACATTATCACATTGTAGAATAACCGAAAGTTTGAGAGAACCTAAAATAAAAGTATGAAACTAAACTCTAAGTCAAGAACTTTATGTACCAAATGATATAAATATAATTATTTAATTTACTATCGGATTATCGGTTAGTTAAGAATTGATAACCCGATATAAAAAAAATTAAAACCGTTACCGAAACCGTAAAATCAATAATCCATAATCGATAAATCAATAACTTTTTTTCGATTCGAGATATCGATTTCGATTTAATTTTGAATAGCCTTACAAACTATCATTAGTTAGTGTATTATACTCTTATTATATTTTTTGTTGATTGTCAAAAAGCATCAAAGATGACATAGTCGGATCCTACTATAGATATTTAAAAGGCACTAAGCTTATTTAAAATGTTTAAGTGAAACATGGTGCTAATATTAAGGGTCTACCAATGAGTTCTACCTTATAAAATGGTTTGATTGTATAAACAAAATAAATGTGCATATGCACAAAACAATCTGTGTGTGTATTAATATATTATTTTTTTTCCTACTAACTTTTTTACTTTCTTCTTAACTTCAAATGCATATGTAATGCTTTAGATATTGGCTATTTCCACGTACTTTTGGAAAGTTATAGCTGATTATTTGATAAGTCAAAGAATTGCTACTCCTTTATTAAAAGTAAAACTTTAACATAACTATTATCATTTAAATAAAATAAAAAAATGGGCTAGGCTTCAATTAATAAAGTTAACTTGTAAACCGTTCTTTTCTTTGTAGTTCAATATTCACTAACTAGTAGAATTAGTGATAAAAAGGAGGTTGTCACTAACCAAATCCTTAATAGTTAAATAATCTAGATAATTACTTGATAATGATCGGTATAAATTGTGGTGGGATAATTGAGATTCCTTCACCTTTAATAAAGGTTTTGGGTTTGAGCTCAAACTATGAGAACGGAAAAATATCATGTTGGGAGAATCCAGATTAGTTGGACTTCATTACAAATATTTTATGCTAAATGAGAAATCAAAAAAAAAAAAAAAAACTTAAGAACGCATATAAAACAGAAGTGAACTCTAATAACATGTTTGTCCAAACTCCAAGGGATCGTTTGCTGTGAGGAATAAAAATAAATAGTGATGGAATAAGAAACGTACTCAATATGCATCGTCATTGAGCCCTTCCATTAATCTCAATGGATATGTGAATTCATTGAAAAAGAAGAAGAACAACAACTTTCAACCACTTTTAACTTGTACCTATTTTTAACTCAATTTTAACTTGTATTTTTATTTTTAACGCATGAGCTCCAATATCAATTTTCAACTCATATTTATTTTTAACGCATCGACTTCAATACCAAGTTTTAAGCCATGCTTATTTTCCGTTAGTCAAAGGATAAAAAACACTCATATTACTTAATTGAATATTAATGGGATTGATTTAATTTTCAATTTAACCTATACATTAATGTGAACAAAAGAATATGGATAATATGAATTAGTCTCACATATTTTAGGTTGCTCTAAATAATATAGCCCCATATAAGTTGATGTACATTAGGTGAAAAAAGGGTGAGTAGAAGATGATTAAAAAAATAATTATCTTTATCTTATCTTAGAAACAACTAATTTAAATTTTTAATTCTATCTTTGATAAAATGATATCTACCCACATAAATATTGCTTATTTTATTAGATGATAAATTTTAAAAATATTTTAAAAGTAACTTCTATATATCTTCTATAACTTGCTACACAGAAATGTAAGAATTACAAAATACATCCAAATCTGGAAATGTATCATAAAATAAAACAAACTATAAGCCCAGTACCTAAAAGAATATACATGCCCCTGCATATATTTCCTGTTTGTGTACATTATAACGTTATTTTAATGTCCACGCAGACGTGCCCTCAGCCTAATGACTTCAGACACAACTTGCAAATAAGTTCCAAGCGGACGTGCCCTCAGCCTAATGACTTCAGACACTTGCATTCGAAGACGTTAATTCCCTTGGCCGTGAAACTGTACTTGCTCTTTCTTCGAATCCGTTGGGGCAAGGAAATCTAAATCCAGATCTTCTGTACATACAGTATACTGGCATTCAGATTTCAAGTTACAATTTTTTTACTTTTCAGCGTGTCCTACTGCCTGAACCCCAGATTTAACGTCTGGTTCGGACATTGGATTCCAAATTGATCGACACTGTTCGTATACGCTTGGGAAAATCCATTCAGACTCTGCTGGAAGTAACTCGATTGATCAATCCGTTGATTTCTGTTCCCGCTTTCAACTTCTTCGTCTAGATTAATACTTTCAACCTTGGTATTGCCTCGGAAATTCGTAGTAGGATGGGCATAAACATCGTTGAGAAAATTCATATTGTTGTTGTTGTGGTTATTGACATTCCCCTGAGCCTGACCCTGAACGCCTGGAGCTTGATTTGCTGGGCGCAATTCCGGCATTGGTTTGAGCCCAGCAAGGATTGCCCAATCGAAATTGGCTGAATCCAGGCGTTCGAGGTTCAATTTCTCGGTCTTAAGAGAGTTTAATCTCGGTAAATTGGAGAATCGATCATCCATTTCTGGTAACGATTCGAGCATATCATCGAATTGGGATGAGGACGAAGTCGAAGAATTGTGGCTGTATTCATTGCTGCTGTGTAAACCAGACAGAAGTGGTTTTGGTCCACTTGAATTCTTCTTATAAATTCGACAAAGCACCCATTCATCTAGCTGAAATATACAAAAAAAAAAATCAGATACAAATTAAAAAATGCAATTAGCCAAATTGAAATGGGATATAATTTCACACTTAGTCCTCTAAATTATTGAGAATTTAAACTTTAGCCCTTATAGTATTTGACTAAAGCACATTTTGACCTCGAATCACTAAAATGTATACTCTTGGTCCCTTTAGAGCACATCAAGTACAGATTCATCATATAGTATAACAAATATTAGTAATTCCCAATTTATGTGAAGCTGCTTGATTGAACACAAAAACTATCAGATGCTTTTGAAAAAACAAATTGTTGTTGCTGTAAATCAATTCAGTACTATTCAAGTTCGAAGTTAAAACATCTTTGACAGGCTAAGAAACAAAGAGCTTAGCTATTAAGTACATTTGTTAGTAATTCACTAAATTTGCAAATATTCACAAAAAGGTGGATTAAAAGTGCACATTTCAATTAATCAAGGATTAATGAATATTTGAGGGACTAAAAGTGCAAATATTTATCCAAAAAACAAAAAAAGAGAATAATGTTGAATTAAATTACCTTTGAACTTCCATTATTTTTCCTTGATGATTCAAAAAGTCGATATTCATGCATAATCCAATTTGTCTTAGATCCTTTTGGAGCTTTACCCACATAAAACACAAGGGCTTTCTTAATTCCAACTTTTCTTCCTTGTGAAGTTATGATCTTATCCGTCCCCGTTGCTTTCCAATAACCGGAACCTGCTACTCTATTCGGTCTAGATCCATTCGGATACTTCCTATCCCTCGGACTGAAGAAATACCATTCTTTTTCTCCAAATGTCGCCTTACCTATAACAAAAATTACACATAATCCATCATTTATCAAATTCAAATGATTAATAGTACAATATCATTTGGTGTGCATCAACTCGTAATTAAAAATAATTTAACTTAAATTTTCTTGTCAAGTCTTAATGACAAACTTCCAAATCTAACTAAGGGCCCGTTTGACCATGCGATATGGTTTCATGATTTTTTTATTTTAATTTTTTTACCCCTCCCTAGGAGGGAACTCCCACACCTTTTCACTCTCTTGACGACTCAAATTCGCAACCTTTGAGTTGAAAGTGAGGGTGCGCAACTCTATCTCGTCATATAGTTTCATGATATGGAATCAAAAGTTTGATTTTTTTTTCTTCCTCATTCAAAATTCCAACACATAAATCATCATTTTATTATTACACAACAATATTTTCTTATGAATTGATTCAAAATAACTAAAACTCAATTCTATATTTTAGATACAAATTGACTTTAATTATGAATCCATCCATTAAAACTAAAACAATTGGAGTAAAACATTAACTAAACTAGAAACCACACGAAGATCATGATGAAATAAATATAATTTCATTTATTCTTAACCAGAAGTCTCAAATTAGTTAGAACTCAATTCTATAGTGAAAAATATACATAAGAGATTGAATAAAACTAGAAACTTACTAGGTAGAACCCAAGGATCAAATTTGTATAAATCAATTTCTCCAATAATTTGTAGAGGAAAATCATGTCCAGCAACTTTCTTACACAAATATTGAACTAAAAGTTCTTCATCAGTTGGATAAAATCTGAATCCTGGTGGTAAACTTAATTGCAAAAGTGGATCTTTTTCTTGAACACCCATTTTTTTTTTATTAACAAACTATTTTTTTTTATCAAAAAAATATTTTGTTCAAAATTTCTAAACTTTTTTTTCTTTTGGAAATTGGGATAGTAGGGGGATTTATATATGGACGAAATTGGAAAAAGAGATAAGTATTATTGTCTTTTTCTTAAAATCTTGATAGTTCTAAAATGTGACACGTATTAAAAAGTTAGGCATTTTAATAGCCGACCTTATCAAGCAGTAAAGTTTTGGACCAAATACATGAATCTAAATAAAAAAAACAAGTTTCAAAAATATAATTTTAAAAAGTCTTTGAGGTCCCCTACTACGTGGCACTCTCTCATGTAACTTCTAGAAGATTGAATCTTTTTGTTTTTCCGCCCACTTTTTATCTTAGATTAAAAGTAATATTTCTCGATTTCGTTCTATTTTATATGAGTTAATTTATCTGAATACGAAGTTTATGAAGATTTTTTTTGTTTGAAATTTATGATATAAATATAAAGATAGATATTTATGTAACTATAAATTATTTTGTTAATGATAATTTGAACATTTTTAAAGTTAAATTGTTAATTAATATAAAAATATGTCAAATAAACTGAGATTGAAGAAGTAGTTTTTTTAGTCCATTAAAAAAGTTCTTGTTAATTTATTGATAATTATAATATTTTATTTTTTATATATAAATATTTAAAATTATTAGATTAAAATATTAATTTTAGTGTATTTTGTATATTTTCAAATTAAATTTTATATTAAAAATTATGATAAATAAATTGAGACGGAGTGAGTAGTATTACTATTATTTTTTTTTTGGAAGAAGAGAGAGGTAAAGGCTGCTTGAATTTTGATTTTGGAAATTTATTACATTATCACTAGAAATTTTAACATGTGACAATTGAATGATTACATTAGTCCAACTTCATGTAATATGGTCCTTTTTCATTCATTGACAATCATTTTAGCTTGAGATAGTTATTATAATAAAATTAATATTTTTAGTTATATTATAACATAATTAGAGCTAAAATTCAAAATATCTTTATCAAGAATGAAATAGTTTCACCAGTGTGTCACATTTTTTTTTTGATAATAATAACTATATTAGCTTACTAACATCATATCGTTTTTATTACTTTGTTAATAAGTCGATTAATGTAAATATTTTAAGGATTCATAGAGTGTGGGACACGTGCAAATACGTGGACAAAAAAAAAGGACTTAGCTGTCTTTTGGAATTGAGTGGTATTTTAAAAAAAATAAATAATTGGGATGTGAAAGAGACTACAGAAGAAAAATCTTATAAAAATGTCATCTATGGACAACACGTATGCATTTTTTAAAATTAAATTTATAACGTTTTTTGTCATTCATTTTTCATTTTTCTTCTTTTTTCTAAAAAGTGAAAAATGACATTTGACATTTGTGCATCTTTTTCTATTTACACTATTTAATTATTCATGCATATATATAGATCTTTAATAATTGATACTATTTTATCCATCGATTTTTAATTATCATAATTTCTTTTTTAAGAGTTAAATTATAAGAATTCTTATTAATATTTTACGATGTATTTTTTCATCATATTGAGATAAAAAAAATTACAATTTATAGTACTTTTCATATAATTTTTAAATATCTAATTTTTTTATTTAAAATATCAAATTAATGTATCTAATTTAACTTTGAAAATTAGTTAAATTGACTTGAAAAAAACACAACATAACAAATAAAAATAGACGGGGGGAGTATAATAACTTTTAGTTTAGTATTATGGGAGCTAGGTTGATTTTTGGAATTGCTTAACGAGATAAGTTCTAATTATATTTAAATATTTTTGGATTAACAGATTTTTTTTTATTGTGTGCTTCTGCCTCTTACTTTGTCGACAGTCTATTTGTCACTTCTAATGTTTAAAAATTTACTGAATAATTTATTCATCTAATCTATAGATCATCTATTCAAAATATAAAATCAACTTATAATACTCGAATCAAAATAGACTATTTATGTAATATTCCTTGAAATTGATCCTTTTTCGATCACTATATGAGCGTAAAATATTTTATATATATTAAATTACGCCTTTTTAATATCAAATTGATCGATCTGAAGTAAAAACTCTGTGAATATAACCCTTTTGCTCGGCTTCTCTACCATATTTTATTTCTTTTTACTATTTTTTTGTGAATAAAGTAAAGTTTAATAATTCTATTGATTGACGAATTTGAATTTTGATGTCTTACGTAATTTTCTTCCTCCCACACCCTCAATTATTTTAAATAAATAAAATAAAAAAATCAACCACTTTTTGGTTGATTAAGAAAAAACAATTGAGTTTTGAATTTTGATAGCGTTAAAGGGTATTTTCCTTCTTTTTCCCAATAATTTAGGTACACTACCACCCCCAAACAAGTAAGGTCAAAGCTAATAACCTTTTATACTATAGTTCACGTGTCACTAATAAATTAAATCAAAGTGTATATTGATTGTGCTATTTTTTTTTGGATTAAGATGACAATATTTATTATTTGGTAGGTCTAAATAGCCACGTTGATTTCTTTCAATGATTCGTATTTGATAACGTTTTATTTTGTTGTGTTTTCGACTTCTCAATTGCCACATGTCTTTTAGTTAATTGTATTTTTTTTGTTATTCACATAAAGTCAAGATATCTTTTTCACTTTCATTTCATCATCATTTTATCTCATCTAATAGAAAGGAAAAAGATACTATTAATATAAATGTCTTTTGATTTTCTTCGTTTTAATTTATGTGACTTATTTTAATTTTGAGATTAAACATATTTATTTTTTTACCATACTCTTTTTTATCTTTTAATAAACTGTGAAAGCAACTATTTGTATCACAACCCTTGAGATGCGATCATTTTTCAAATTCTACTAACGCTGCTTAATTACATCTCTCACACACACTCACTATATCTCTATATGTAAAAGGTTTTTTTGCCTTACGTAGGAACACAATGGAATTGAGTATACTATAATATAAAAAATGACATAAGAGTATTTTTTTTATTACTTCCATTTCTATTTTATGATTATTACTCCCATATAAATGGGATGACATATTATATTTTGTTATTACTTTCATTTTCTATTTTATGAAAAAAAAAAACATATAGAATACAACCAAATATAAAATAAAATATGGAGTAAGCTAAGTGTTGCCACGTATAGTGAAAGGGAATTGCCAATGCGGCAAGAAAAATATTAAATAACATCAAAGGGGGATGGGAGAAAGTTGTTAGTAGGGCAAATTTAATACTATATATTAACCTACTTTTTTTTGTTTTGTTTATTTTATGCCATGTGTATGTTTTGATGATGATCCAAATGAGCATATTTGTCACTAGTTGAGTAAGGCTTATGTAATGCTGGTTTAATAATCTCATTTTTCATTAATGATTGATTCTTGAAAGATTCATAAAATGTTGACAATTTTTTTTTTAATCTTTAGGGTTAGTATAGTATTTATGAACTATAAATATACTTACTTGGGTTGTTGGATGGAGTTGATCTTGGGTGAAAATTCTCCCAATAATCAAACTCTTAACTTTCTTTCTCTTGTTTAGGGCTAAGAAAATGTCGAAGTAATTAACACTTGTACATACGCTATATGTCACGATCCAAAATCAAAGGTTATAACGATATCTATATTAATTCATCGATATGTAAGTCAAGTACTCCTCAAAGATAAGTGGAAGATCAAAGCAATAAAAATTAATAGCGACAGATAAGCTTTAAAGTCGAATTTTAATAGATATTGATAGGATGTAAAATAATTGTATATATCCAAAATTAATGTCATCGATACAAGAGCATCTAAAACTGAAAACATACGTATAGTCCAAAATTTACAAGACTGTCTGAAATAACAAAAGACTGGAAAATAAGATAGATATATACATACATTGCTCTTCACGCCAAGTAGCTCACCCAAACTTTCAAATAAACGTTACCTCAAACAACAGAATCAATAAGGCATGCAACTAGTGTTAGGAGCTACATAAAAAAAATGCAGCAAGAGTAGTATAAGTGTGTTAATACATGTACTCAGTAGACATCATAAATTGACCAATCGCGAGCAAGAATTAGATAGTTAAATCTTAAAAATAAAATGAATCTAAACCAATTCAAAAGCCTCAAACATAATACTCATGGAAAACAAGGAACATGCTATATAATTAATGTCTATTATTTAGGTCCCAACCTAGATTTAACATAAAGTCATTCTTCCTAATTTATCGAATCCACCAATACTCCCACACATATCACACTTGATACATAAATCACTTCCCAAGCTAATCTAAGAGAGTCATAACCTACATCGAAAGTCGAGCAAATATTTCATGAACCATCATACGATCACCTTTCTTTTTGAATCACTCTCGAAAGCTCTCACTCTATCAAAATCATCCTCTGTGAGTATACAAGTCTATTTATATCCATATTGTTATATATAAAACTCTAATTCAAAAATTAAGTGAAAAAATCAACTATCAGCTACTGAGGTCAAAAGTCAACATTGATTTCAAAATTGATTTACACATAGGGTGTGTTTGGTATGAAGGAAAACATTTTCTTGTTTGGTTGGGTTAAATGTTTTGGAAAATGTTTTCCAAATCAACTCATTTTTCTCAAATTTAAGGAAAATGACTTCCCTTCAAAACTTAAGGAAAACATTTTCCAAAACTCTCTTCCAACGCCAAAATTTTATTTTTACACCCATACACTCGACCCTCCCCCCAACCCACCCACCCCTACCCCAAAAAAAATAATTAAAGATTGTTTTTTAAAAATATTTTCAACTTCAAAATTTTATTTTTTCACCCCAACCCTCGACCCTCCCACCCACCCCCTACCAGCCCCCCACCCCACCCACCCCCTACCAGCCCCCACCCCCCAAAAATAAAATTTAAGTTTATTTTTTTAAAAAAAAAATTTCAACTTCAAAATTTCAATTTTTCACCCCTATCCTCGACCCCCCGCCC